CCACTGTAAATATATACAGTAGCAGTTACTAACTTTAGATTTTTTATAGAAGTGTTGGGAGTCAGAGGAAGATAAATGAAAGTGTTTGCGCTTTATTTAAATCAGCCACTGAACTGAGTGTGTGTATGTGTGTAACAGTTGGGATTTATTTTCAACAAAATGAATGTACTGTAGGAGATGTGTGGTGGGTGAGTGTGGATAACTTAACAATGCATGGGCTATAAGTCAAAAGATGAGAGGCAGAGTGAAAAAAGAGACTCTCCGCTGTCTAAGACCACCTTGGCACCACATTCAGCTTGCTGTTGCACCTTGGAAATGTGATCTTATCTACCAATAGGTTTAGAATACAATATATGAACCACTGAAAGGGATATACACATCAATTGGCATGGGTACTGCGCTTAAGATTTTTACTTCTGAAGCAAGGTGATGAAATTCATACCTGGGCCAATACTGAAAGTCTCCAGCCGGTGCCTGAAATTGCTTTGGGTAGGGAAGGCTGCATCATCTGCATTCCCCTTCTGCCTCCAAGCCGATGTGTTTGAGGGGCTTGACCCTCTGAATGACAATAATCTCAAAGTAGCGCCGTGGCATTGTGTGTTTGAGTCATCAGCTTTGCAGTTACCAACATGAGCAGGCACTAATTGCTCGACCTTTCGGCACTGCTGCTTTATTAGAGGGCCTCTGCGGGGACTTAAACCACTCTCTTGGCCATTCCGTTTGCTACAGCCCAACATAGCTGTTCTGGGACTCTGGTAACCGTCATTTGTTTTTGCTGGTTTGTTATCTGTAGAGGATCTGCAGCAGGATGAGACACCAAAGCGAACAGACACGGTAGACCTATACAAAGAGGGTTGACCTGCTCTTCTCCTCTCTAGTTCCACAAGGGAAATGGAAAGTGACTTGTCCAAAATCACAACAGAGCTTTTGGACCTCAGAGGCACTTCACAATAGATACAGGACTGATAGCAAGTCTGTGAGGACAGGTTCATCAACGAGCCACCTCTCACATTTTGCTTTCTGTTGCTCTCTGTGTAGCTCAGTCTGTGTTGCACAAGTTGTACTTTCCTCTTTCTGGGATCACTCAATGCCAGTCCATCAGCTGGTGAGTAGGCCTGCCTGAAATCATTTGATGTATCTGTGGTAGGATTCTGTCTGAACACATCTGGCTGGGAGTTTGAAACTCTCATTGAGCTTGTTGATTTGGATAAGGCTCTTCTCTAAAAAATTTCCTAGTGGTTTTGGTGGGGTAATCACGGTCACATGCCGTGTTGGACTGGATGGATACACAGGGTCCTCCAGAAGATGAAGAGTGATGGCAGGACCTTCCTGGCTGTGACGCTTATGGATGAAAATGCTGTCTCTGGGCTCCTTCTCACCACATCTGGGACACTTGCACTCCTGAGCAGGTTGGAAACTCCACTGCAAGATCCAACATCTGCAGTCTCAGAGTAGGCAGACTGTGTTATTACTCTAAGAAACACACTGTCTTTCTCCTTTTGCTGCCACACACCCCATGACAGGACATCCCTGCGCAGTGAAGTGATGATATCCTTACTTGAAACCTATGAAAAAGACAAAAAAAGAAAAATGTTCATGTTAGAGTCATGCTCAAAAACTGGAATAGACTCCTCTGCAAGCTGAGAGGCTCTGCAACTCAAATGAAACAAACTTCAAAGTTCCAAAGTTGTGATGCTGTGATGTGATTGGAGGGACTTATTATCTGCTCTTCTGCTCGACATGTTCATCATGTTGCCTTGACAATGTGTAACGTGATGGGCAGCACATGGGGACAAATTATCCATGACATTTAAAATTAACAATACAGAATTTGTCTTTTTGAGGAAAAGGCACTACCAGTCTTTGCTCTGTTCTTTGTTTTAGAAATGTCACTTAAAATCAATCAAACTTTGAACACAGAGAAGATACTTTGTTATTGTTAACCTCAAACAAGCCTTTGCATCACTTTCCAAATATCATAAGAGTCTTACACAAATATAATTCAGCTTATGAGCACTGAACATGACTGTAAAGTGGAGTACTAAAGATCTGAAGAAATCTAATTAGATCAGTGATCAAACATTGTACAGTTATGGAAGAGTCAACATTTTATTACACATTCAGACATGGAGTTTTTACTGAGTATATATTTTAATTGACAGCAGTGACAGTGAAACAAATTCCTTGCTAAAATAACCACATTATCATCATAATCTTCCTAAAAAGCAATTTGTTCAACAAACATTCTGAAAAAAAAATGTAAAAACTAGATTTTTATTTAACTGTATGGTTTCCCCTGCAGGCAGAACCATCTGTATCTTCAAGTAAAAATAGATGGAGTGCACAGTAAATGAACATGAGGTGTAGTGGTGATTCCACCAAGTATTTGCAGAAACGGTTTACCCAATGGCATAAGACCTTGGGTAAACAGATATGTACGCCCAGAGCTATTTACCCAAGGTCTTATGACCTTGGGTAAACAGATATGTACGCCCAGAGCTGTTTACCTCGTCGATGTTAGGTCGCGATAAACTTGGGAATCTCCAACTGCGGAAACTCACCGACATCAGCTAGCTGTCTCCTACTTTTTCATTTGTCAGTTAGAGTGCTGCAGCTTCTGAGTTAAACTGGGCTTTACACATATTGTACTACACATGTCATAAATGTGAAATCCACTTCAAAGGCATACGCTTCAACTTGAAACACAGTTATCAGCTTTACCTACTCATCACAAAAGTACAGCTGTCTTGTCAGTGAAAATAGTTTAAGTGCTAATACTTCAATATTGCATTATTCACTTCACTTTTTCATATTTCATCATTTATTCCACACTCGGTGCCATGTTCATTCCCACTTATCAGCACCCAGAAGAAAATTCTCCCTCTGTCTGGTTTTCTGCTACTCAGCTGAGCTGATGATAACTCTCCCAACAGGGTTATCTGCCATGCTTGTCCTGGCATATTTTGGATAATTCCTCAACACCAAGCAATAGTTTAAGTGTTCAGTCTGTTGTCTCAGAAGACATGGGAAATGGCTTATTATCTCATTTTATTCACCAGCATAATTCATTTTTTATAATCATTATACACCAAATGCACTGCTCTCAGTTTAGTTCAAAGCCCAATCTAGCTATTGCAGTCAATAAAACTAAAATTATGACAAATAGAGACATACGGTCAGGGGCGCCGCAAGCAGTTTTGGGCCCTATGAAAAAAATTGAAGTTGGGCCTTCTACCTCACCCATCTGTGGGCCCCCAAAGTTCGTGGGCCCTTAGAATCGTCCTAACTTTCCTCCCTAATGGCGCCCGTGCATACGGTAATTTACTTTTTGAATGATAAACTTGCCAAGCATGCTGGGCAATGAAGCCATGTTGTTGACCTGCTAAGATATTTACATGAATGGCACACTGAAAATAATACAAGAAAAATAACTATGTTTACCCTGTGTTCCACTATGAAGTGTGTCACGTGGGAAGGGAATACAAGCCCGAACCACAACACTGAAACAGAAATGTAGGCTTTCCCAGTTTAGCCAGCAAGTGTAATTGAAGAATTTACATTTTTATAATATTGCACTTAACATAAGAAAGGTGGATAGGAGTTTGGCTGTGTGAAAGAAGGGGACTATACAGTAATTGGAGACCCTTAAGGACAAATGGTTTATAAAGAAAAATATTGAACATATGAGCTGTATAATTATTTTGAGGCTGTGTTTGTGTTGAACTGTACTGCAGAAAGGTGTATTTTGATTGATCCTATTAAGTGTTTTCTGTGTGGACCTCCATTCTTCATAATGCTATTAAAACAAACCAGTGAACCACATGGTTGCAGTGGATGACACATCCCTTCATTAAAATCCCTCATACTTCATCTTACAGTAGCCTCAAGAGATTTTTTTGTAGATTCCATATTCAACATTTATCCTCACCTGAACCATGAGTGTTCTACACAATAGCAACTATGTACTAGTGCTACATCTTCTAGTACTGAAAGGGCTGCTTGCTTCTGCTAGATTGTATTGGTAGTTCCTGTGAAAATAAACGAAAACATCTTTGCCATATATGCAGCATTACAGAGGAAAACAGAAGCATATCTGTTATTGTACTGTACATACTGTGGAAACGTCTTACCTGATAAAGCAGTGTCAAAGGCAAAGCATCAACTGTTGCTCCTCTCTTTGAACCAGATAGATCCACTTCTTTCAACAGAGCTCACAGCACGATTTCTCTTGTACTTAGCCAGGACTACAGCAGATCCACGCAGTCATTTGAAGCCCCACTGGAAAATTGTTTCAATTGTCTCAAGGAACAAAATACAACTCATCAATCAAGTCAGTATGTTTATACACATTGCCCTGTTACCTGAGAGCCAAGAAGTGAATATGCTGAATATAAAAGACAAGTCTGTGTCCTTGGTAGAACTTTAAAACTTATGGCTCCGCTTCAGTGGGTCTTAATATTTCTCAGTTCATTTATTTTCTACTCACAGCTCTGGTTTAGTTGTGCTGGTGGTTATTTTTTAACCACCAGGGACCTGTGGCACTTTCAGGAGCACCCGAGGCAGCGTCCATATGACTGAGTCCTCCAGGCAGGTGGCTCAGTCAGCTTGTCTACCCTAGTTCTCTCCTTCTCTATCCCCATGGCTTAGGCTCGGATAGCAGGACAGGTGACTGTCTCTCAGGTTTCAGGACTTGCATAATAGGTCCCCACTTCACAAGTTATTAATGGATTCAGAGGCTCTCAACAGATCCTGCAGCTGCCTTACTGAAGCAAACATAGAGATAAAATAAAAAGATGACTGTTTGCACCCTCTTCTACTCCTTCCAGCAGAAACTCAGTCTAATAATTTCCAAAGATGTTTTTTCCAGAGCTTCTTTGAAAAGGACATTGTAGGCTACATCAGAATTGGCAGACCTGAGTGTAGTCAAAGGAACATAGAGCATAAAGGCAAATATATAAATAAATGTCTAAATAGGGTACAGCACTGAAGGTGTTGAATGTTCAACTTATTGTTTCTCCCCTATAGGAGACCCTGCCAAAGTAGGGTGGGATTAAAAATCACAGTCAAGTACAGTAAGTCCAGACTTTTTCAATGATAAATTACCCAGTTATTCAACTAAAACAGGAAAACAGCAAGGTATATTTCACTCATGACTCAGTGGTTATGTTCCTATGAATGAATCAAAATGAACCAAGGTGATGATGAACAGATTATTTATATTCACAGCTCTTAACGATAATGATAATCACGTTTAATGGCCAAGTATGCTACACACACAAGGAGTTTGTCTTCAGTACAGAACCGAGGCAGCCATTGTTTACACTGATGCTATTAATCTTATTCTGAAAGTTCTGAACTGCCACACTACTAAATTTGATGCTGTGTAAATGAAGCTCATTAATGCAATGGCATACATTTTAGCCATTTGGTAGGTTTTGGAGAGCCACGTGTGACCTTCTAAGACAGGCAGTGGCAGGTGGTATTTTAAAATCAGACAGCCTGGTCCCAGTACCAGGACCAGGAGACTAGTAAGGGTTAACAGTATGGTAAATCTCTGCCAACATTATGTTCTTAAATCTTGCTCAACGCAAAATAACAAGATGAGGAAGTGAACTGTCTCACTCTCAATAACACTTCTGGGTTGAATTTCTAATGAAATCTGAAGAGGAGGCAGCTGTATTTTGATTAACTGAATTTCACAATAGTCTTCCTGATTTTGCGATTATGCTGGAATAAATGAAGAGGCAGCAGTGTGGTACAGAATGGCATGATTGTGTGTCATGTGGAAGCCCTGGATTGAGCATGCTGGTAGTGTAGCTGCAGCTCACCTGAGAAGGAACAAGGTTGTTTTAATGTTGTTTTCTGATGCTATAAGCCCTTATTGCTTTCACTTTTAATTTCTCATTAAAATGTGCCCCATCAATTCCCTGTCATCAT